AGTCTTGGTACTGTGAGATGATGTTCACAACAGAGTTTGAAAGGTAATGCTGCTGTTGTAGCTCCCTCTGATCTCTTTAGGAAGTAGAAGGAGCCAACAACAGCTGCCTGTGGTCTTGGGCCAGCACATCCATCCTGCCCTGTTGGTATGGCCTGTGCTTAGAGCTGGACTCCAGTACTAGCAAAGTATTTACAGAATGTATCTGGTATGGCTCATGTGCACATTGGATGAAATCTATACCACTCCCGCTGGACCACTGCTGCGACTGAGTGGTTTCCAGTGAGTTACATCATGTCCAAGTACATCCATCTACAAAGAGACCAGGGAAGCACTGTAAACACAGTATAAGCCTTTTATATCAATCACATGACAGGCAAGCATGCAGAGGGGCTATTATTCATTATGATGTATCTCACTGATCAGGTGGTACTAAATAATTAAATAATGAAATGTGTTCATTTAATGATCATGGAATTAAATAATGAGTGAAGAAAATGAAAAGCAAAAGCAAGCAAAATATTTGATGCAGTTCCTGCTAATATATTTCACCATCATTCTGGTTTCAGCTCACCTTGAAGAAAGGCTGACACTAGCTTTCAATGAGGTGGTGACTTTTTTGCAAGATGAACAAATGTAGGTTGCAGCTGGGATATGATGCAAGCCAGGAACAGGTCACCCAAAGAGATTTACAGACCTAAGAGAGAGTATTTTTATCCACTTGCCATATATATTTTGACTGTAGATACTTGTTCAGATTCACGTTGCAGTTCATGACTCATAGCTAAAAGTACGTGTCTGTGAAAGACATGGCTGAAACATCTGATCTGAAATGGATAATTGGACATAGAAGTCTCTTTATCTTATTTGCCAGGATAATCCATAACCAGGCCATATCTGAATCTGGTTGAAGAGTAAATTCTGTACAGGCCAAGGAAGGGTAGGAGGCCTGCAAGAAGAATACAAAATGTTTTATCCTGCTTTCACTAGTTTGCATTCATCCAAGTTCCAGAGTAAGTAAGAGCTATTATTATTTAAATAGGACGTTTATATCAGATGAATAATTATTTAAATAATTACATGCAAACTTATTTAAATAAGAATGTGTAATGAAATCTCATTCTAGTTTTTTCTGGGCAGTTCTATACACATAAACCAATCTTACATCCTTCCATTCTGTCTTCTGGGCTGCTCAGCTCCTTTTCTCTAGAGAGGAGGACACTTGCACTGTGGGAAGAGCCTGTGCAGCTGCAAGGTCCTTCAAAGGTGTCCCGACCTGAATGGAGCCTTTGCTCCTACCATGGATTTATTACTATCTCTTTATTAGAAGGTCCTTGAAACTGCAGTCTCTGTATCTTCTGTGTTGCAAAAACATGAGTCCTTGCTGCTGAGAACATACATACAACATGTAACTCTCCTATTTAGACAAACAGAAGGATCCAAGTCATTAAGACTTGGAAGTCATTAATGCTTTGAGGTCTTCAGGGTTCCTCTTGCTTTTGCTTTAACTTGTCTTCAACTCCTGTTTTCCTAGTGCCATCCTCCCAAGTGGGCATTTGGTACTGTCATAAAATCTTCCTTCATTGCAAATTTTACTTAGCAACTGCGTTACCCTAAACCATAAATAAGTTGCTATTATTACAAAGTCTTTATGATCCATAAATAAAAAGCACCCTATTTAGATCAATCTACACATCTAACATGTCACTGCAATATCTATAACTGGGGACGAAAACCAGTTAAGGCTGGTCTTGTGACCAATGCTAAGTGAGAGTGCAGAGCTCAGTGATAGATCAGGGCCCAGCCTGGGACAGATCCAGCACCAACTCCTATTCCTTAACCAGACAAGGTCATTAGTAATGTATATGTGACACTTACAAGCTCTCTTCTAGCTGTCTTCATATATTAATCGAGTCGTCGTTAATAGAAAAAATACAAAAGCAACATGCCGATTAATCTTTCCCAGGCCGCTGTAATACTTTTTTTGGAAGAATTTCAGTGGTCGTCTCTTATGGAGCCGTCAGGTGCACAGTTCTTAGCAATTTCGTGACACCGTTCCAGAATTTGCCATTGTGACCCTGTGTCTTGGTTATGGCAGATAACATTGCTGCCCGAGCCTCGCTTTTTACATGGAACTGCCTTTGGTTTTCGGGAGTTTTGGATCTGTTTTGTTTTCAAAGGCAATCCTGTAGCACAACTTTTGAAATAATTATTATTTGCAGGTATGTCTGTGTCCTGCCAACTCTGTTTATAGCATATTACTTGGGAATCAATAGTCTCATAAAAAGTTTTAATCAAAAATGGTTCAGGAGGCAAACGCTCCTCTCAGGCTGCTGCTCTTGGATTCGTGAGGAAAGAAATAATAGGGGTACTTAGGATTAAATAGCTAGATACACAGAAGAGAGCATCTGCAGCAACACAGCAAGGTAATGCTTCTCAAACATCCAGTCTATACACTTTGTAATCAATCTCCTTCATGTATCTGTCTCTTTAATGTAAAGTTGTATTTTAAGACATTATATGGCTTGGCATTTTCCTGGTTCTCCATTGTCTTGCTATTTCTACACAGCCAGATTGAAGTTTATATCTTCTGATAACAGAAGTGCAATGACTTGATGTCGGCTCTTCTATCTCAAGCTAGAATTAAAACTGCAATGAATCAATAATTTAAATATGGGTAATTGTAGTCTCCTATTTAAATTTATTAGTATGATCACGTGTTCATACTGATGTAACACCATGGACCAGCTCTGAATTTCCTGCAAAGCAAATAAATTTAGGCATACAGAGGTTTACTTGTGTTCAAACTGCATTTGTATGACCTAGAGACTGGTCTGTAACTGGAGAGACTTGGACCATAAAAATCCTGACTGGCATCTCCCTCCCATAGCAGGGACCATAGACACAGAAATCCAGCAGCTCCAGGGAGTAGCGCTGAGTCCAGCCAGGTCCTCTGGGAAACACAGCATGCAAAAGTTTCTGTTTAAGCTGCCATATATCATAGGGAAGGAGCATGAGCCTCCAAGACTGCTAGATTGCTCATTTCTACAAACAATAAAATAACTCTAAGAAATGAAATAGAAGAGGATTAATGAAATAAGAAATAAAAAGGTAATTTTATGTGTAAATTCAGTGGAGCGTTTCAATAAAATACTTGCCTTCTGGCTTGATTTTTATTGGAAATTGATTGGTAGTTTTTGATTAACAATAAGCTGGTTTTATTATCTACTGCAGCTTAGAATGTTCAGGTTCTTTCCTTTTCTGTGTGTGAGGAATTGCCATATACAACAGATTTTCAGAGGCTTTTGCCATGAAAGAGAATTTTGGCAGGGCAATTCACACTGGTTTTCCCTGTCTTTCCAACAGCTATTCAGGCGCTGCTAAAAGTGTCCTAAATTACTATTAATAGCAGATGCTTACGTTACTGTGATCAAATCAAGACTGAATAACATTAACCTACTCTCATGATAATGAATTCTTCAGTAGTTTCCTGGTTCATTCTTCCTCTTCCTCTTCACAAGATGCCAGAGAGGGCAAAATGCTTGTACCAAGGTAATAGCGTGCCTGCAACGACAAGCGTAGGTGATGCTGGGCTGAAACTTTAAAGCATCCTGTTAGACATCATCGGGGGTGTTTTATGTAAGCATTTCCAATGATTTTTGGAGAAAGGCTGAGGAAGAAAACATATCCCTGTAGAAGTCTGCCACAAAGTGAGGGCTGGAATAAAAAGCTTTGCCCTCCTAACCAAGGTGGCCAGTGAATATGCATCCTTGAAGACCTTGGAGACCTTACAGACCTTGGAATCCTAGTGGACAGTAAGCTGTCCATGGGACAGCAATGTGCCCTTGTGGCCAAGAAGGCCAATGGGATCCTGGGGTGCATTAAGAAAAGTGTGTCCAGCAGGTCTAGGTTCTCCTCCCCCTCTACTCTGCCCTGGTGAGACCACACCTGGAATATTGTGTCCAGTTTTGGGCTCCCCAACTCAAGAGAGACAGGGACCTACTGGAGAGAGTCCAACAGAGAGCTGAGAGGATGATCAAGGGACTTGAACATCTCTCCTATGAACAGAGACTGGGGCTGTTTAGCCTTGAAAAAAGATGGCTGAGAGGGGACCTTATTAATGTATATAAATATCTGAGGAGTGGATGTCAAGAGGAAGGGGACAATCTCTTTTTGGTGGTGCCCAGCAACAGAACAAGAAATAATGGGTTTGAGTTAGAACATAGGAAGTTCCACCTCAACATGAGGAAAAATTTCTTTATTGTGAGGGTGCCAGAGCCCTGGCACAGGCTGCCCAGAGAGGTTGTGGAGTCTCCTTCTCTGGAGACTTTCAAAACCCACCTGGACGCATTCCTGTGTGGCTGCCCTAGGGGATCCTGCTCTGGCAGCGGGGTTGGACTAGAGGATTTCTAGAGGTCCCTTCCAACCCCTAACATTCTATGATTCTGTGATTCTATGATTCTATGATCCTTCAAGGGGTCTCACTCTGGAAAATTAATCCAGACCAGAAATCCTTTCCTACCAGTTGTTTTGACGATCTCCTGCAGACCTGCATTCCCCAGGTGGAACAGGAGGCATTTATAGAAGCCTTAATTTTTCTTTTTTTCTTGTTCTCAAGATGGTAATGCTGAATAAAAACCCCTGCATCTAAGCACTTTTCCCTGCAAATTCTGTTGTCTGATAGCAAATTTCATTATCACTTCTAAACTGCAGACTAAAGAATTTCACTTTTAAAAAATCAGCTTTTCATTATCACTAGGAATTTTTCTTGTCCTAGAAGTTTTGCAACCTTTAATCTCTTTCCAGAGAAGAGGTGATAAAAACATAACTTAAATATGATAGGATATTTTTTGCTCCCGAAAAAAAATGTAGAATTTATTGTAATCAAGTTTTCATGACCAGTGATGTTTTGTTCCAGATTAACCTATGGTTTTCAAAAGACAGTGCAGTACACCAAAAGCATCTAGAGTAAACTATGTTCATCTTTCAATCTCTTTCAACAGATTCTCTCCATGGGAATGATGACTGAATACTACCACTACTTTTTTACAACACTGGTGAGGAACAATAAAGATTTGGGTGTGAATTTTCTCTGTTGCAGAAAAGATAAATAAAAATTACTTTTTCTAGTTTTTTTTGCCATTATTCAAGGACATCCCTGCAGAATATGAACACTAATCCCTGGAGTACTAACACTCTTTAGTAATATTAGGACTCACAATTTTGTGAGGAAACTGTTGTGCAATATTTGTGGGGCTGGGTAACATTTTAGTACAAGGAAAATTAACTTCAATGTTGTCTTTAAGGAGGAGCCACCAGTACAGGTGGATCAGAGTGAAAAAATATAATTAATGAATGGCTCTTTAACAGAGCTAACGTCAAGCACTGCAGGTAGTGTAATTCATCACTAAAATATTTAATTCACATATAAAACCAGAACCACGCATGTGTAAAATCACTTGGGAAATTTTATAGTAAAAGAAAATCCCAAAATTTTCTTTTATGGAACAAATTTATAAATCCTTATTTTTTCCCTATGTGTTAACTTACATGCTATAACTCAATCAGTGCTTAAGGTCCTTTTGCATTGTAGCTAGTAAGACAGCAAAAAAATGATATTTCTAGAATAGTCTTAGAGGGCTGGATTGTATCATGTGATTATATCTTTATTTCCTTTCCACATAAAGTTTTATGTGGAAGTGAAAAATTGTTTTGAATCCAATAGTCAATTAATTAGTCAGAAAAAACTCCAGCTGTTTGGAACTTGAAGTTTTAGCTTGAAATAGTTCTCTCTGAGGCCATTTTCACATCAAGAAATAGATGAAAACTCAGGATATACTGTGGAACTCGCAGTTTTATACAATAAACGCTATAATAAACAATCGAACATAAGATGTTAACCACCACCACCAATACACATGAGATAGTGCAGAGAACAGATTAGAACATGCAGTAAGTAGTGCTGGTGGTGTCTCAGCATTGTAGCATTGTAAATGTTGACATTTTGATGGTTACTGTGGTATTAAGGCATGACCAACACGTTTGTCATTTTACTTGCCTGCCAGGATCAGCACAAAGTTGTTTTGAAACACAGCCTTCAGGCTTTGAGAAGCAGTTATCATACTTCCACTGCCTGATAAATACAGCTGTGGAGTGAGCCATGCAATTGTATCACTTAGAATACCCGTTATTTTCCTGTGCTGTGAACACTGAGCACTGAAGCGCGTGGCCATACTGTGCACTGACCTGACACCTCCATTGGACTTACCGGTAGCGAATCACTTGAAGGAGGCAACGCAGAAGAAAAATGGGATTCATAGATAGTAAAAGTGTATTGCTCTCAATATCTCTTGGAATTTTCCTTCCTTGAGTTGAGAAATAAGCTTGACATTGACCAACTAATTCCTCATGTTGGTTTGTCAGAGCTGTAGCATTGTTAGAGGACTGCTATAAATTAAAATTAGATACTGCTGTGCAGGTTGGTTGCAAAATAGTTTTGTTGTGGGGAACCAATTTTTATGTTCCAAAAAGCAGATATGTGATTTGTCATAAATTTCACACAGCTTTGGCTTATTCAGATTTATAGCTGAAGCTGTTGTGACTAGGCTTTGAGGGCAAGCAGAGCATTCGCAGGGGGGAAAAAGAAAAACAGCACTTGAGCTTTGGATTGAAAATCAAATGCAATATTGACCTAATTGTACCTTCTGATTGTTTTGCTTTAAAAATACTACATCTGATTTTGTTTGTTTTCTTAACGGTGATTTAGGATCTATTTGCGTTAGACCTGGAACCCTACAGATACAGCGGAGTAAATATGACAGGGTTTCGTCTGCTCAACATCGAGAACCCGCAAGTTTCATCAGTCATTGAGAAATGGTCAATGGAGCGTCTACAGGCACCACCGAAACCAGAGACTGGCCTCCTCGACGGCATGATGACGGTAAGTGAACGATCCCAAGTGATGCAGGGGCATCTGCAGTGTGCTCCTGTTCCAGCAGATGTGAACCTATCCCATCACTGTTTTATTTCACAGTGGAAATGCTGAAGCAGCATCCCCAAAACAGGCCTCCTTTTAGCCACTTCTCCACAGAAGGGTATTAGCCCTGTGAACCAAAGTTGTACTCATCTGTGTGACAAACCACTCCCAGGCAGCTCTAGAGATGAGTGACAATTCTCCGTCATGGTGCCATCCAGATAATATCATTCATCTTATTGTTGTCATAAGTGTATACTGCTGCCTCATTTCTCTGATAATGTTCTTCATGGAGTGAAGAATATAACAGGAAATAAAAACTTTCAGAGCAGGTATACGATTTATAACCTGCAGGGAAAGATATTGTACATGCAGGCAGGTAATAGCATTTCTAAATTGGAAAAGTGCCCTTTCTCTTCATTTCCATCATCTACAGCAACTCTGGCTTTTAAGATATAATTTAAAAATAAATGAAAGGTGTCATCAAGTCAGGAAATTAGGATTTCCTCCCTAGCACTCCCCCAAGAAGTAAAGGAAAGAATAGGAACAACTACATGGACAGCATGACTTCATTCAATTTCGCAGGGTGAAGAGTTGCCTTCTTCTGCAATATAAGCTAATGCATCCTTATACAGAGTGGAGCTGAAGCTATATGAAATAAGCTTCATTGCAGATGATTGCAAGGAAAATTTTGAAACATCCTAACATCCTGAAGAGAAATGAATTGTGTGTGATATGTCTAGCATCTTAAAAAATGTTGCTTGTTTGTGCCATTGTGCTCAGTCCTACTCAAAGCAGAGAACAAAACTGTCCCTGGGAAATTCCGATGTGAATACCCAAGACGGACAAAGGTAGCTATTCAGCTTCTTTCACCCAACTGTAAAACTGTGAAAAACAAAATTCATACTAGACTCTTGTGCTTTCCTTTGTATCTCTGACTCATCCTCTCCTTTACATCTCAATAAACTCTTAATGCCCTTGATGCTCTGAAACGGCAGGATCACCAAAGAAAGCATCTTTCTAGTTGGTTGTGATTATTTAAATATTCACAGAAAGTTCTACTTATTCAGTTTGATGGAGAGCTGCAACACTGCTGTATTTCATTAGGTAATGAGACTGTGACAAGCTGCACAGTATAAGGAGATCAGAATTACATGTCCTATTGTTAACTCAGCGTTTCTCCATTGTGGTTCATGCCGTATTGTTTGCTGTGATGTCAGCTTGTGGGAAGTCATCAAGGCATGACCAAGACAGCTTTGAGTTCATGTCCCACTTTATGCACAAGTTGCACACAGAGGCATGGTTGTTCTAATGAGATCTTTGGGTTTCTTTGTAATAATTTAAATATGAATATGAATATGAAAACCAGAAAAACAAGTTCCAGAACTAAATCCTAGTCCCTTTCTTCTCCGACACAAGTACAGACATCAGTATTGAGTGGTGTGCTTCAGAAAACAAGATAACCTTTTGGTCCTCTGTGCAAACACAAGCCCTAAAACAGAACGGTGAGAAATAAAAAGCTAAGGTGGTAATATGACCTCCCAGCTGTTACAGGGCAGGATGGATGAGTAACAAGTTGTCTGGCAATGCTGCCAACATGCAAACACTGTGGGATGCATCGTGTTATCAAGTAAGAACATTGGTGGTCCCAAATACAAGTGCTAAATGAGGTGCACTGAAGGATTCTCACTGAGTATCTCCAGAGTTTCCAGGCCTGGGACACAGGCAGGCTGGGACTCCAGCACTCGTGTGAAGTTCAGCCCATGTCCTCAGTCTAATGTAAAAAAAAATTTGAAGCCCACTGACATTGATGGGAGTCTTTCCACTGATTTTGAGGATTTGGAATCAGGCCTTTAGTCTCCAGGTCCATTTGGAACAAGTATCCGTTTTAAGTCACTCGACACCAAGAATAGCTGTTATCTCCTCCTGCTTGCCTCACCATTTATAATGTTTTTGATTTGCTCTGTTTGTGGGAGCATTGTTTTGGGGAGATCCTGACTAGTGTGTCAAAAGCACTTCCTAATCTGCAGTACATTAAGATTAGGTGATAAATTCAGATTACATTTTATTGCCAGCAGAAAACCTCCAATGCTGATACAACTGATATTGGAATTTGCTTAGGTAAATGAAACAGACGTAGAATCAAATTTAATTACTTCCCAAAGGAATTTCATGGGAAAGAAATAAAAAATTAATTAGCTTTGTAGTTCATATAAATGGGTCCAGTTTCTTGTCTGCAGAGTTAGTATATTTTAAGGCCTCTACCTAATTATTCAGCAGCTTTATAAGAAAGGTAAGCACTTAATTCTTACAGCATCCCTGTGCAGTAAGCAGAACGTGGCCATTCACACTTCACACATGAGAACACTGAAGCACAGCTAAGGTGAAATCTTTCTAAAACTTTCCTGTGGTATAGGGTGACAGAGTGTGTGATCTCAGTTTGAGGCTTACTGGGCATATTTTTAAACCAATAAACCCATTCTCCAAAGAAACACACATGCACAACAAGCATCCAGTAATTTTAGTAATATTTAGGTATCTAAGGGCTGTATTCATCTGTCCTGTTTTAGACAACTGGAAGTTAAATGTACAAGTAATCATCAAAAAGACACCTTGAAAGGGCAGTTTACCTCTCGGTAAGGCAGCATGGGAGGTATGGCAGGGGAACAGCCCTGTGGGCCTGTTTCACATATTTGTGCCTAAACCCAAGATCTTTGAGAGAAGTAGACACGTAGAGACAGTACATACCTGTTTGGTGGGATACCTACCAGGTACGTAGTGGTAAGCAGGGCCTGCCTACACCTTGTGGAAGAAAGTAGTCCTACAAACACCTTTAGAAGAATGGTGATAGGGAGGTGGAACAGATCCTGCATGGGCAGTCTTCCTACGTGTCCCCATGCAATGCCTCCCATGCCACACCAACCTAGAGGCTGGGCAGAAAATGGCCTGGACACCTGCATGGGGCTTTCAAACAACACTCCTTGAGGTGCTGAAAGTCTTTGGAAATCCCATGAGGAAACTATAAAACACTGGGTACTGTGAAGTGCTTGGCCCTAAGATGTGACTGGAGGATGAGACCTGAGCTGCTGTATCACCTGAGGCTTCTTAAAACTCCTCTCTGTGCCACAGAGATACATGTGTGCTCCTTCCTGCACTCAACCCACTAACCCCTCTCTTCCTATAGCTACCCAATGTACCTTTTCCTCCCAGTGCTCACCTGAAAATACCCTAAAGTTAATATAAGAAAACAACATGTATTTCATTACACTTCAGATTTCCATGGAGAGGCCAGTAGTGGCCTTTTCCATAATACCAGCCCAGGGAAACAGTTCTCTGTGGAGAAAAGCAGGGACTGGGCACAAAGATGTACATTAAAGAAAACCTTTCTGATTTTTTGTGCAGACTGAAGCAGCTCTGATGTACGATGCTGTTTACATGGTAGCAGTGGCCTCCCAGCGTGCCTCCCAAATGACTGTCAGCTCCCTGCAGTGCCACAGACACAAGCCATGGCGTTTTGGACCCAGATTTATGAATCTGATAAAAGAGGCAAGTGTAGACCATCTGCTTATGGTCATCATAATCCTTCCTTTCTTCTTTACTGTCTAGCGTGTGCTGTTACTCCCTACTCATTGTCATATGCTATGCTCTGGTTTCTGGCACTCGGATGTGAAATTCTTCCTCACCTTCCTAGCAGAGAAGCATTTATTTACAGACACAAGACTATGGCCTGAATTCTGGTGGAGACTTTATCTGGTCTGAAAAAAAAGAAACTGCTGAACTGTAGGTGCGATAAAAGTCTCAGACTAACACACCATAAGACTGCCCATATTTTTTGCTCTGTTAGCGTTATGGTTATGTTATTATGGTTTTATATAATTTCTAAAAATATACTATAGATAACAACAGTTATTCTAGAAATTGAAAGAAAAGCAAGTCTGCAGCTCCATCCTTGTTTCATGATTTAATTCCAGTTGTTTTGCAAATTATTTGATCAGTAATCAATATCTAGAAAACACCTCAGCCAGTATTTCTAAAGAAATAAATTACTTCGTAAGTAAGCCATGCACTGCACTATCTATCTCGTAAGAATGCATCATTGAGCTAGCTAGATCCACAGATGTTCTGAAAAATACACATTTTGACTGAAATACCTTCCCTCTTCCAGAAGTTCAGTTTTTATTATGAATTTCAAATGGAAACCTTTCCTTTAGGGAAGCATGTGAAAACAAACATTTGAAATTACATGGAGTTTCCTATGCATATTTCATATTTTCCTCCAGTTCTTATCCGTGGCAGTGTGATTCCTATCAGAGCCGCATTCATTAGCACTCATGTAGGTGGAACAGGACCTGTAGGCTGAGGTACAAGGTAAGTGGTTGCAGCACATTGGGGCATTCACCTGAATCCAAAAATATAGTTGGAGCAAACTGAAAGACAAGACATGTGGTGGTTACAGAACTTGTAGAAGAGCTGTCATCACCTTCTCCAAACTTTTCTAAGTAAATTTTTAGGCAATATACAACATGGTGATTCACCTACACATAAAGCATCAAAAGTTACTGAAACAGTACTCTCCACATGGGGTGTTTTATCAGTTTTAAGATTTCCTTATAAGCTTCTTTCTTTGACAGTATAAAGAAAAGATAAGAGTTACACTAGTACCCAGGGAACAGACTTAAGTATTAAGGAAGCTTTGAGATAATTTCCTCACTGCAGCACAATCATGGAAACACCCAGAGGAGTCAGGAAAGGAGGTAGGAAGACAGTAGCAGGAACAGTAAAAGATAGGAGATTTTTTTTTCCAAAGTTTCTGTAATAAAGATGAATTCCTCCCTCCCTTCCTCCCTCCCTTCTGATTTGATCTAAGTGGGAACCTTTGCTCTTCTACTTATCAACTTCACACTAAATGAGGTAGCATTGCTACTCATACAATTTCTGGTGGATTTTAAGAATAATGATAATGAAATTTAAAGTTATCATAAGACTATCTACCAGTGAAGGCACCTGCTTAATTATACAGAGGTTAACGACTTATTTTGGGTGATGTTAAGTATATAGCATAAGGGTCCTGCATCCTAAGCCAGAAGAAGTACTTTGACCGAGAGTACCAGACATACCTTAGCAGATTCAGTTCGAACTGAAACAGTTACACAGTTCACATTCACCATGTGCAGCTATTCTCTCTTGCATAGAGTGAGATATATGAGCTAATTACTGATCGTTTTGCAGATAGTGTCTTTCATGGTTGGTAAAACACTGATTTAAATACTCCGAGAGTCTTATCTTCCTGTTTCTCTTGTAGCCAAAAAAGGTGGTTGTTGAAAGTAGAGGATAAGGTTTAATAAGACAGTATTACATTTCCTGGAAAGACTGTAACAGGTGTTGGAAATTAAATTGCAAACACGTTTGGACCTCCCTAGTTCATGTTAGGATCTGGTTTGCTCTTAAAGGATAGATGAACTTTAGAAATTAAGAATCAAGTAAATAGATATGGAGAAAAAAAGTCAAGCAGGGGAACTGGTAGTTTGGACCCACATAGATACAATTTAGTTTTACTATTTTGAGATGAGGTACTTACATTCTGTGAAGGCATTTTACAGGCTGGTCTGAAGGCAAATAGTCTGTACTGCAGTCTAAATAAACAACTTTCAGATAAAGAGACTGCCTGCAATGAGTCATGCAGGTGCTAGAGCTTAGCAAGTACTTAAATGGCTCCATGGTAGATTTACATTTTACTTTAGTGATGATAAGAGCTGCAGTCATTTGCTTTGTGGGCCAGTACTATAAAATGCCAGGCTGATGGTAATAGAAAGGATCTCAGAATCTGCCTGGGCATGAACAGAGGTTAATATGGAAAGCCTCTGACTGTATAGCAGTTCATAGGCTGCTTCTCTCTTCACTCGGCAGATGGCAATTTAATTTTTTTCAGCCTGTCACTGTCCTGTTGAGAAGTCAAGCTTCAGGTCATATCTGGTCCTCATGTATACACAAGTTAGCTTTTTCCTGAAAGCAACTGGAAAGTAGACATCCTAGGGAAAAATACTGCCTTTTGATTCATGCTGATCCGAATGCACATGCACTGGGGTAGTTTTCTGAATTTTCAGAGTACATGAAAATAATAGGTGAATATTTTAATGTGCGAATGCTCCTCTCTTGACCTTAGGACTTCAGGTACATGTACCAGATAACAGCAGTAGCAGATCTACTGTGTGATTTTCTTAATGACCAAGAGTTTAAATGCTACCAAAAAGACCATGATAGAAAAGCACTAGCAAAGTTATCTGAGGCTACAGAATAATCAATTGCAGCAGCAAAAAGAGTTAATTTCTGTACTCTAAAGATCTCATAAGCTAATGCTGGTTGTAGAAAAAATTTGGAATTTTGCAGAGAAAAGAAAGCCTGACCAAAGACTCCCAGCCCTGAGGACAGCCTTGAGGTCAGCTAGATCATCAGCTAGCAAAGGAGGATATTATATAAAATACACTGTCTGGGATCAAGAATCTTCTACAGTAGCTCATTAAGATCTTTTTAATGAAATGTAAATCCTCGTCAGAAGTTTTGTCTCTCAGTGACCCAATGTCATTCATATCTAAATAATATTTTAATCTTTTAGCCTTTATGGAAGCATTTGCGGGGAGTATATCTTGCCCATGCCCAGAAAGAAAAAGGAGGTTGTTGTTACTTTTCAGAGAGGGAGTGGGGAGAGAATGGGTGATTATGTCTTTCCTAAAAGGGAAATGTCTGTAAACATGACAGGTGTTTATATTTCAATGATCAAATTCTCTATCATGTCCCCTTTAAAGCATGAGATGAGCCCCAAAATAGATTATCTGTTATTCAATCATCATCTAAACCAATGTGAGCTCCCCTTACTCAAATCCAGTAAAAATTAAAAGAAAACTGCATAGAGAAGTATTCCAGAAGATAAGAGATGCAGGCTTCATCTTGAGTGGCGTTATTAAATCCCCTCAAACAGAATAACACACACAGATTACAGAATCACAGAACCACAGAGTAGTCAGAGTCGGAAGCAAGCTCCCTAGTCCAGGCAGGATCACCTAGAGAGTGAAAGGAGTCCAGCTGAAAAGAGTCCAGCTCCATCCTCCTTACAGCTATCCTTTAGATATTTATAGATATTGATAAGGTCTCCTCTCAGTATTCTCCAGGCTGAACAGTCCCAGCTCTCTTAACCTTTCCTCGTAAGAGAGGTGCTCCAGTCCCCTAGTCATCTTCGTTGCCCTCCACTGGACTCTTTCCAGCAGTTCTCCATCTATCTTGAACTGGGGAGCCCAGAACTGGACACAGTCCTCCAGATGTGGCCCTACCAGTGCGGAGTAGAGGGGAAGGATGACCACCCTTGACCTACTCACCCTTGGCCACACTCTTCAATCTCAAAGAATAAAAAGAATCTGAAGCATTTACATCTACATTTCAGTTTGTGTTGTGTTTTTGACAAGATACATTTCAAGCACGTCTAGCTAGTAAAAAACAGGAGTGAGAGCAATCCCTCTAGACTCTACGCTGAGTAATTTAGTACAGCCTTCCTGTCATGGTGTGATGTTACATGCCCTCAAGAATCCTCTGAGATGAACTAAGTCTTTGTTTAGGCTAATGTTAACAACCACAGATACCAACAAGTGGCTTTGGTCACTCGGGCACTACTATCTCCTTAAAACATCCAAGACTGTTTCAGCTTAATTGTAATAATTCTTCTGAATGAAGTTGCCTCAATTAGACTGGAAAACCAACCTCGTTCAAATGCCTTCATCCTCAAGAAACTGTTTCCTTAGAATTTATAAAGATTTTTCCAGCCCTCTGATGGCCGATTCTTGTTTCTACACGTAATAAGTGGTATGCTTCATAGAACATCTCTGGCCTGCAAGGATTAGTAAAATTAAGTCTTCAGCTTTCTTAAATTCTCACATCATTTTTCATTGTTAAAGGTGTAAAATGAAACCTCAGATTAGCTTATTACAGGAAGAGTACTGTAAATGTTGAACACATTCTACAGTTTTAGATCATCTAGTACTGTCTGTGGATAGCACTCTGCTTCAAGGGTAAGATCAATTTTTTTTTTTTTTTAAAAAGACGTATCTAGTCTTTTCTTAGACAAGAGAACAGTAACTAACTCAGCAGTAAGAAATGAACTTATGCAACAAGGCCATCTTTATTGTCTTAGGTTGTTATTTTGCGTACTTTTTGAACGCATGATGATAATTCAGAGTGTGGTACCCTGTGTTCTGGTTACATTGACTATAAATGTTTTTATTTCATATTTACTCTTTACAAAAAGAAAAGAAACCTTTATCGTATATACAAAAGAAGGAAAGTCTTGGAAAATTTTCATGAAAACTCAAGGCATTTAAGCAAATTATAGCCTTGCTCTTGGAGAAACAAGACTTCACCATCAGAATAATTAGAAAGACTGAGAAACAGAGAGGCTTTATAGTTTCCAGTCACCACTAAAAGAGCTGAGGAGACCTGAACCAAACAAAAAAAGTCTTGACAATTATCTGAGATGAACCACTTCCTCATGTAGACTGATG